TACTCTGTCCATTTCAAAAACAAAAATCCGGCCCGTGACCCCTTCTGATGCTCCATCGAAACACCCCTGAATGAGCCGCCATGAGTCCGGCTACCTCTTCCCTTCCCATGTGCTGCCAATCCCACTCATTCACCCCCAGGTCCAGGGCACTCTCTTCGCTGCCTCCTCTCACCCACCAGCATTTGCCGCTGACCCCTCCTTCCCTGTTCAAACGTTCCTTCTCTAGACTCCGGTGACACTGCGCCCCCGGCCACCTACCGCTGTCACTCACTCGCTCCGTCTTCTCTGCTGGCTCCTTCTCGGAAGGATTTCTAATGACTGATACCTTCTCTGTCTCCCATTTTTACATTCTCTCTGGGAATCTCAGTCTGGGTGCATCTATGACGTAGTCGTTACTAAATTTGTTTTCAGGTATGACCTGCCCCCCAAACTCCACATTCACGTATCCAAGAATCTAGTTGATATTTCCACGTGGATGTCTAGTAGTCATTTCAAGGTTACCAGGCCAAACACAAGTCTGGATTTACTCTACCCAGGCACTACCTTCCCACATGGTTTCGTTTCCACGGTAAGTTACATTGCTTATTTACCTCTTCTCCCCGAAACTAGACAGAAAACCCCATTACCTGCTTCTCCTGCTCAAAATTGTATGACACTACATGGCACACAGTGGAACTTAGTTTGGTGATTGACTAATGAACGAGCCTTTGGCATATGTAAGACGCCAGGGTTGCTAACTCCCGAGGGAAAGCAAGTTCCATAGACCTACCCATGGGCACGAACATTTCGATGAGATAATCCTAGAGGCTGTTTCCTAAGTCACATCCTCCTGGTCTTTTTTGGTCTCTATCTGGATGGAATGGGCTTATGTTTCCATTGTGTTATTGTCACTAGTTTCCATTAAGGCCCCTCAGAATATGGGAAATGACTTAAAAGAATCAAAGAATAGCCCACCTCTGCCTTCGGGCTCTCCTGAGATTCTTTGGTCCTTTGCTCACAGCTTAGGACCTCGTTCCACCACACAGCTCATCACCCACACCCAGGAGAGGGAACGCAGCCGTCGCATGGGGTGGTAGGAGAGTCAAGAACAAGCGGCCAGCAAGAGACGCCCCCCTGCAGCTCTGCCATGAACGCCAGGGCGGGAAGAGGACAGACTGCAAGGGCAGGAGTAAAAGACCTACAGCAACAGGAGGAGGCGACGCCCCGGCCGGGAGGGCCGTGTCTGGCCCGGGGCCTGGAGTAGGAGTCCTTGCGTTCCGTTGAACACTGCGCACTCACTCCCTCCGATACGCGGCCTCACCCATCCCCAGCGCTTCTGGTGTTAGAGTACAACCCCTGGGGCTCGAGGATGCATTTCAGTGGTTATACCTGAATAACATCAACCTTGACCCTATGACTTGCTAGAATCAAAACCGCTAGGAGAGAAAGCATTTCTGTACGCCTCCGCCACCCGGCACTCAAGGCCCACAGCACAAGCGTATGGGTCAGCTCTCCTCCAGGCAGGGGGCTGCCAAGGGCAGTGACCAGCGCTTTGCTAGCCGAACTGAAACCTTCCGTTGCCCTTGGTTGTGGCTGGCAAAGCCTCCAAGCAACTTCGCAGGCTCCATCCCCCCGAGTGGGAAATCTGACTGGAGACAGAAGTGAGAACGGGCCTCACTGGACACAGGGGAGATGGGTTCTGTGGAGGAGATGGTTCTCATGGCAACAGACCGCCCAATGGGGAGCGGGAAGACTCCACACCACCTCTTAGGTGTCACACATGGACACGTGAGGGGGAAGACCCACATCCTAAGTGCACCCATGCTAGCCTGCCTGGGGATTGGCTCCCAATGCCACCTGATTTCTACCTCTGTTGCCAGGCAGTGCTCTGTTACCACGGACACGTCAGATCCCCCCTGGGCAGCTGGACTCGTGGATGGGAGATTTCAGGGAGAAGGGATGTGAACCGCAGCATTGAAACCTAAAAACGTATTTTATTTCGAAGTTGTGCTTTGGATTTTCCCCAATCCAACATCTGTTGAGTGACAGTCTTAGGTTCCCACAAAGCATCTCCAAGCATACATACAGTGTTCCAGTTATCAACACTATTTAAAGAATATACCATTGTACACGAACGTGACATACACGTCAGACGCCACAACATTGCAACTCCCTGGAAGATCGAGCTTCTCTTCCGCACGCACGTGAGGTCCGTCCACACCAGCCCTTCCAGCGGTCCGTTCGTCCTGCTGCTGGCGGCTCTCCTTGCCTCCTTGGGGAGAAACCAGGGTGCCCTGAGGAGGTTGGCCAAGACCAGTGTTTCCGGTTTACCGGCCGTGGGCTGCTGGTACCCCACCCACCTCTGTTCCCCAAAGACCGACCCAGCAGAATCCACACCAGGAAGAGGATCCGTGCCTCGAGGGCCCGAGCGGGGCTGTTGGAAACACTATGCTGGTTTAGGCAAGCCTGTCCGAGGAAGGCCGGTCTCCCAGCCCCGGGGGGGCCAGCTCCTCTTGGCTTTTCGGTGTGAAAATCACAGTGTGCAACCTCAATTCCAGTTGACTGCAGTGAGCTGTGCCGAGAAGGACTCTCCTGCTCTGGGTTCCTAGTCCTCTCGACTGGACCATCTCACAGGTGTCAGGAGCACCAAAGGGGAAGACATCCGCTCCCAGAGCGGGGGGAGAGGTGACCATTCACACTGTCCAATTCATGATGCAAATCAGCAGACGGACACGGACCCAGGGGACGGCGAACAAGTCATGTACAGGGCGGAGAGAAATAAGGCAGGGACAACAGAACAGGCCCGAAGCCTTGACATTGAGAAAGCTTTGCTTTCACTTTCCTAGAGAGGAGGCGCCGGAGGGAGGGGGAAGGGCAGGTATGGGTACCAATTTGGATCAGTTGGATTAGAAGGAATGTACAGTGAAGGGCGGGGATCCGTTTTCAGCAGGGAAGTAGATCCTCGGGTACGAGAGACCCTGTTGGCTCACGACCTGTGTAAAGTCCAGGTGACAGACAAGGACAGGCCACCAATTGGGCAACAAGAGCCAGGGCTCCAGGCGACTGTGGATTGCTTCTCAGAGGCTGACTCACTTCCCTGAAGCTCTTGATGTCTCCCTTTCGTCTCTTGGGATGGTTTTCCTGGTGCTGCAGGTTCTCCTTCTATTTAGTGGTTTCCCACAAAGCTCCCCTTTTCCTTCAGGCAGAATGAGGGAAATCCTACCACTTACAGAGCCAACCACCAACTGCAAAATGCTGGCCCAAAAGGGAGCTTCTAGGTTAAAGATAAGAAAACTCTGACTTTTCCTATCGGAATGACAACCCACCATCTCTCCTGAACCATAGGAAATAATAAGGCTAAAAGTTGCAGCTTTAAAACCAGAAAACAGACAAGAGGAATAAGTTTCGGCTTTAACTCGAGCAGGTATCTGAGACGCATGAGCCTGGAGTGTGACTGTCTGTCCCCAGCTCTGGTCCTGGGACAGCAGGATGCCAGGGGTGTTGGGACCATAGGCACCAGGTTTGGAGACTGGCTTAAAGCAGATAAGGGCATCATTTTTGCTTTTTGGAGGAAAACCAGAAAAAAGTCCAAAGAAAGGCCAAAATATCCAGCATCCAATTTTTAATTTTCTTAGATTTGGGCCTTTGGGAAGATGTTAATGCCTGTCCTCTCCTCCCCCCGACGGGGGGAGAGAAGGGGGCACAGTTCTCTTGGTTGTCTTGTTTGGGTAAAATAAAACATTTTTAAAGGAGAAATGTCTCCCTTTAATGTACCTGGGGCTCTCCCAAGCCCACTGGCCCCTGAAGAGACCTTATAGAATAACCAAACCAGGGGCTGAACTTCGAAGACGTTTTCATTTGGGAACAATTTTGGGGCTAGCAAAGCTGATTTTATTTTTTAATAGAGGAATGAATTCTATGTCTTAAGTGCCCAAATGAGTGGGAGGAAAAAGGATCCATTTCTTACCTTTTCCAAACCTGCCAAAAACGCAATAAGACTCTCTTATAGGGCTCTTTACCCTAAAAGGAACCAGCTAGAAAAATTTTTTATATAGGAAAATGTCTTAACTGGAAAATGGTCCGTCAGAGACAAAGACAGGAAAGCAAGAAACGTCTGTACATTCAGAAAAACTTGAGAAGTTCCATAGTAAGACTGAGTTGTAGCTCTAGATGGAGGGGGAGCAAAAGCAAATACCAAGGACCAGTTCACACCAGCAGAAAGAAGATAGAGAGAGTCTCCAACCCCTAAACAGATAACAGGATCGAGTCCCATCCTGCTACATGTCCTATGATGGGAGATACCAAAGTCTAAATTCTCCCGCCCCAAACAGGTTTGTAATGGAAACAGAGACCCCTGGTGGCTCCTGTGTGAACTGCCACAATAACTTACTAGTACAAAGAGACTGGTCTAGGACCAGAAGCTACACATGCCAGAGACTAGAAAAGCGTGTGTGTGTGTGTGTGTGTGTGTGTGTGTGTGTGTGTGTGTGTGTGTGTGTAAAACGAAGACTGGACTACATGGACTATATGATTCTCTATAACCAGTACCCAAGTGTGTGTGTGTGTGTGTGTGTGTGTGTGTGTAAAACGAAGACTGGACTACATGGACTATATGATTCTCTATAACCAGTACCCAAAACAAGAGGTCACTGAGCGCGGGATGTCCACAGCTGACCATCTGGTTAGGCACCCCCCGTGTGAGGGGTCTGAGACTGGAGCCCATGTCCTCATGACTCGCCTTGGCCAGATTTCACAGTGACCTGATAATGGAAAAATCTACCGCTGGCTAACCTAAGGACAGCATGTACTGCAGCTGGCTGACTTACGACGACTGGGGGAAGCAGAGGGCAGTGGGAAGGGCCGGGTAGGGTGATAATGAGGGCTTCGTTCTCAAGATTTTGGGTGATGGGAAGGCTAATTCCTGTAAGAACAACTGAAATCTAATTTTCAACTGAAGTCCCCAAGCTAGTTAAATAGGAAGAGTTTAATAACAGTCAGTCCCTGCAGTCCCCTTGTCTAGAACAATTAAATTATATCCTTCAGACAGTACAAGACTTGTCAGTGGACTGTGGGGAAGCTGAGGAGTTGACACCAGGGCTAGTGGCATTTGTTTTGGGGAAGACAGTGGGCTTGGGCCGTGTGGCAGGAGGCTTGACCGGGGCAGCCATCTTGACGGACTTGACAGGCCGGAAGGCGCAAGCGATGTCCCCAGCGGTGCTGGCACTGCGCTGGAAGGCGGGCTCGGGGTCCTTGAGAAGCTGGGTGTGCAGGGGGCTGGAGGGCTCGGACGTGGGGGCCACCACCGGGGAGGTTTTGAGGGGCTCCAAGGTGTCCAGAACCACGTCAGGGGTGTGCTTGACGCTGCTCTGCCGCTCCAGTTCCCGCAGCTCGTTGAGGGCAGAGTTCATAGTTGCCTCAATATCCTGCAAAACAGGAAAAAGGAGGTGAGGCAAATGGAGGGAGAAGTCCCCGAGGATCCTATTTCAACACCACAGGCCGAATCGTGGAGAAACCAACGACAATGAGATGTCCAGATTATTTTACTTGGCCCAAACCCTTGAACATATGAATGTTCAGAATGTGAGGGGAGGAGGCAACAGGATTTGCATTATCAGGAGGTCCTTTTTCCTTTGGAAAGAGAGGCTGAGATGTTTTTAGAATAGAGTCCTTGGATTTTAGAGATCTGCATTGAAATATTTATGGATGAGGATTTATACAATCCAGTGGGGAGAGAAAAGGTGGATGAACTAAGAGAGTGGCCAGGAGTTTGGTTATGAGTACATGGGATTCATCATGCAATTCTCTCTACATTTGTACATGCTTGAAATTGTTCATAGTAAACATTTTTTTTTAAGTGGTAGAGACGAAGTATTATCTTTGTTCTCTTGGACTCCAAGGCCGAAGGTTGAGGAGGTTAAGTCTTCCTCCTCAAGGGCTGAGGGAAGGGCCAAGAACCCTGGCCCTGAAGATTCATCAGAACATCTCCCTGCCCTTGCCCGCCCTTAACCTGGATGAAGCCATTTCCTCCTACCCATCACCAGGAGAGGCACAGAGTTACCAGGAGGGGAGCCAGAGCCCACAGGCGAATCACCTTCAGCAGGTCACAGTGGAGCACTCAGCTCAGGGGCTCAAGGCAGAGCCAAAGATCCTTTGTATGCAGCCAGCCACCTCCCAGCTCCCTCCCTCCTCCCAACGCTCGTGTGTCTGGCACCCCCAAACCACCATAGGGCTCTTCCTTGGAATTAGGCTCATATTGAAAGACTGTATGTGCCAAACAAAGGCCCCTGGTTAAGGTGTCTGTCCCACGGGATGACCCGTGTGTTCAGTTGACAGAGACTCAGTTTCATGCTGCGCTATGATGTTCCCAGACCTTAGAACTGCTCAGGAAGAACTCCATTGCTCTCCACGGCCCCACTCTGCAGCTAGAGCCTGTCCCCGCCATTATTCTGGCTTCCTCTTGACCTGGCCAAAGAGGGAGCTGGGAGGGTTCCCATGGTGCAAGGCAGACTGCAGCCAAGAGCTGAAGTAGAGGCGCAGAAATAGAAGGCCAGCAAAGCAAGACATCTCGGCCCAGAGCTTAATACCGAGCTTACCAGGTACACCTTCCCTGAGCAGAGATCCACAATTAAGCCAAGAGAGACCACGCCCAGCCGCTCCTGCCCCCTGAAAGAGGGGGTGAGGAGAATCTCAACTCCGGTTGAGACGGGAGAGGGCAACCATGAGCCCTCAGTTCCTACCTGGTCTAATGAAAATTATAGAGTTGGGAGAGACGTCTGAGTGAGCTGCTTGGAGTGGGCCTGGTGGTCGGATTTTTAGAGGTGGGGATGGATCTCTAATAGTTCATGGAAAACAAAGGCTTGTCAGTGTGGTGTAAACAAGGAAAGAAGACCCCAGTCACCACGGAGCTCATCTCCACTGCACCTGGAGATTTGGCCTGGAAACCCTTCTGGCTGAGCCCCCCGTGGCAGAGTATTTTGTTCTTACAGGAATTAGCCTTCCCATCAGTCAAGACCAGGAGCAGATTGTTGACTGACCATCTATCTACCGCTAGGGACCAGATACTAGCCTTAGGGGATGGAATGATGGGCAGAGTGATATAAAAATAAACTGACGATCAAAATACATCCAGAGACACGGATACATGGAACAGACTGACAGTTCTCAGGGGGGAGGGGAGTGCTGGGGAAGGGAAGAGATTAACCAAAGAACATATATGCATATATGCATAGCCTGTGGACAGACAATAGTGTGGGGAAGGCCTGGGGTGGGGCTGCAGTTGGACGGAGGGCCAAGGAGAAGGGAAACGGGGGAACATTTGTAATAGTGTCAACAATAATATAGCGTGGCCAGAACTACATCTGAGCCTCAACACTTGGGCTGAATGGACTCTACCAAAATACTCCATCTGTAACTACTGGCTTTAAAATGACAACAGCCTTGTAGATGGCCCATGCATGACCAAGAAGCCTGCATCCTTTCATTCCGTCTTCAAGTTCTTGGGGGGAGAGGGACCCAAATTTCTTGGACAGCTGTCTTGTCAGGCCCAGATGTCCGCTAGTCCCTGAACTTGGCATATAATGTACAAAGCATTGTCGTTTCCAGTCCTGTCATAATGAACATGGGCGCACTAAGCAGCAGGAACAAGTGTAGACTCGTGTCAGCTGCTTGTCCAGGAGCCCCCCCGTTACCTGTGCAATGACCTCAGGATCCACGGGCCGATGGTTATTGAAGCTTTTTGACCTCCCAGCTGTCACCGTCTTCCGGATCTGCGGACTGTCCAGCCGATTCTTCAGGGATGAGTGGCGGCTGATGGAGTTGAGGCTGCCGTGCCCACTGATGGAACACTTATCTGGCCCTTCCTTGGGGAGACTCTGGCTCATGATGGGCTGGGAAGATGGGCGGCAGCCAGCCCCCACCCCCGGGGAGGCAGAGTCAGTCAGAGAACCACTCAGCCCGTGGCTGTCACTCCGAAATGTTTTCCGGATGCTCCCCGATTCTGGCCGCTTCCTTTGCCTTCAATCACAAAGAGAGAGGGCGGTGTGACTAGGGAGCCCTGGCTCCAAGGAAGTGAAGACCGGTGAGAGGGACAGATGCTGGCACCCAGGGACGTCCGGGAGAGGGACACAGAGAGGCCTTCTCCGTGCTTTCTCCACGTCTCGGTCCCTCTGCCACCCCAACTGGACAGAGAAGTGAGTACTTACTTGGTGGCCGTGGGCTTTGAGTTCTCAAGGTGGAAGGTACTGCTGTCAGGAAAAATGTCTGATTAAGTGAAAGTTTCTAATGGGAGAGAGATGCTTGGAAAGGCCCCTCTATTACCTGCTTTGAACAGAAACCAGGCCCCAGGGAGCGACAAGTTTCACCGTCACCAAGGAGGAGGGGAATTGCTGGTAAGAGGAGACTTGACTTTTCCAATTTTAGCCTCTTTCTTCCTCCAACTACAAGGCTGCAATCATTTTGGGCTTTGGCAAGAGGCTGTTGCTACTCGTTTTGCAGACATGGAACAGAGTATTTTCCAAAAGGCTGCAGTGTTGCAGAGTTAGGGCCAAGGTTGTGCATGTTCTTAGGGTGGAAATACATCGACGTGACCCTAAGTCACCCGGCCCTGGGCTGAACCTGGCTCTGTGTCCACTGGTTTCAGACCACGGAGGCTCTCCTACGAAATGGTTTGGCAGAGTCCTACTTACATGGGTGTTGCCTACTGCCGAACAATTCCATTTTCTTTTGGAATTGGATTCGAAAGGACCTAATCTAAGAAGCAGTAGGACTTCTGGTTTGGGATGGCAGCTGGGCAGCTTTGATCTGAAATCTATGAAGGGTGACGGGGCTGAGGTGAGAGCTGAGGACGGAAGAAGGTAGGGGTGGACCTAGTCTATGAGGCAGGGCCGGCATCCTAAGTCAGTCCTGGTTCTCTTAACCGGTTAGGTCTTCCTCATTGTATGTCCACAGGGCCTGGTCCAGGGCCTGGCACAAAGCAGCTATTCCATGAAGCTGCCTGCTCAGTTCAGCGGTGAGAGCCAGCCATTCTCGAGTGGAAAAAGGATGTTCTCGGTGTCTTATGGAGCCCAGCCGAAACAACGGTCTCCGCCAAGTCTTCCCTGGCACCCCAACTCCAGCGGAAGGCAGAACCGACCATGCCCCCCTCTGCTCCTTCAGAGCATCTGCAGCACGGCTTTAGTTACCTGTCTGTATGGTGATGGCTCGGCAGACTGAGTTCTGAGGCCGGGACTAAGCAGTATCGGCACTTGGCACAACAGTAGGTGCTCAATCAATGTGTGCCATTAAATTGAAATGCCGCACCCCAGTAACTGCTGACTTCCTTTTCCACTCGGATGGCTGACTCACGAGGCAAAAGCTGCTGAGAAGATGTGTGGAGAGGCTGGCGTGTGCCAGGTCCTGGCCAGGCCCCAGGGATGTAGAAGGGAAGGCAGTTCCTGGTTGCAAAGAGCTCAGTCCGATGGTGGATATGAGTGCAAAAGACACTCAAACTGCTTTAGGAACAGAGAATAAGGGCACCTCACTCAGCCCTGAGGAACTAGGGGTGTCAGAAAGGCTCCCCCAAAGAGGCAAATCTTCGAACTGTCTTGAAGGGACAGGAGGAGGTGACCAGGTGTGCCTGGGGGAGAGAGAATCAGGGGCATTCAGGACAGTGAGGGGACTGAGGAGGGATGTGTGGAGTAGGAGCTGGGGCAGGAGTTGAAGGCAGAGTCACTCCTAAGGGCATGACATGCTTGGGGGCCGGTGCCCAGGCAGACTATGTCCTCCAAACACCCCATCCTGACGCCACCAAGCAAGGAGCTCAAGGGAAAGCCTTCTACCAGATGTCCATCCCTTGCCTATTTCAGCTGTGCCTCCACACAATTCCTTTGTACAAATGGTGTCAAATACATATAACAGTTTAAAAATATGTACCTAACTAATTATTTAACTTTCCCTCTACCAACCCTGCCTTGGTTTCTGGGCTAATAACAGGCTTATGATCTTATGATTATAGATTTATAATTCACGTAGACTTGTAAATAAGGGAAAAAATGTGATTAGCCCACAATTACTTTTTACTAGCTCTCCCTCCCAGCAGGGCACTACGCTGGAGGGAAAGAAATAAAATCCTCAATCATTTTTACTGGCCTGACTTCGATTATAACTGCACTAAGTGAGCTGAATAAGCTACTTACTAACTTGAGGGCCAAAGAGACGGAGAAGAGCCACGTGTCCCAACCACGCCCCCTGCTACCATCTGGTTGGAAAAAAGCCAAGAGATCTGGGCGACCTGGTGCGGTTTAAAAACAACAAGCATCTTTTATTCTCCTTCCAGTTTCAGTGTCCAGAGGCTACGGTTAACAGGTTTTCAGTGTGCAAATCATTTCATTCCTCCAAAGCCAGGGGAATAAAAACTGTGCATCATCTCCAATCCATATTCATCGGGAGCGCCCTGGGGCTTGTCATCCTGCTGGCATGGGGCCAGGTTTCAGGGTCTGGCGGAAAGAGGTCTGTAGGCTTTGGGACTTGGTGTCTGGCCCCTTGAGATGAGATTAGTTCTCCAATAACCTGAATGTCTCGAGGGGAGGCAGCAGCACGCAGGCGTGGGATCCCTCTAGGCAGCCAGATCGGGTGTGGGTGGAGTTAAACCCCCAGGATGTTGCTAACAGCCACAGTGAAAGCTGGGGCAGAGGTAAGAGCCTGCTGGGCAGGAGTGGGAATCTGCAAAGGGACTGAGAGAGGATAACACACAGGGCGAAAGCAGTGGGGGAATGACAGGTCTCTCCGCTGATGTGAAAGGGCAGAAAGAAGGAGGTAGGAGTTAGACGAGGAAGGGAGAGCTCAGACAAAGCTCTCCTGGGGGCACAGTGGTCTCCTTTCCTTCGCAGGGGCACGTGCAGGACGGGGTGTATGTGTGTGGGGGACAGACACGGGCCATCTGACTAAGCCTCTGGGCTAACGTGAGCCTAGAAGACACACAGACTTCAGATCTGTGCACAGACGAGGCCAAGAAAGACATCACAGACTATTATTTGAGTAGGAATTGGAAAAGAGAAGGCACCTCTGAGAACAGCGTAAAACCAAGTTGCTTAAAGGAACCAAAGCTTTGGCCAGCGCTGAGCAGTCAGACAACCAGGAAGGTCTGGGCTGAAGCGGGACAGAGGGCGCACCTTCCCAGGCAGGACAGCAGCCAGCGGAGGCCGGCCCTGTGCCCAGGCTGGGGCGGCTCTCTGCCCGCCCGGTCTGCCCGGCAGCAGCAGGAGCGCATGCAAACTGCTGGGCCGGGAGCTCAGCCCGTGCAGCGGGTGGAGGCTCAGGCCAGAGGGTGAGGCTGGGTGTGGCAGAGTCAGTCAGAGGAGCAGAAAATGAAAAGCAGCGCTTACTTGTTGATGTTTGCAAGATAAATATCGGCTACATGACCCCCACTGGGACAGCTGGCCCCCGCTCTGGCTGTCACCTTTTCTTCAGGTGGCTCAGAAATGACCTCAATTTCAGACTTGGGGCTGGACCTCTCCACGACACCGTCCTCGCTGGGGGAGAAGGGGCAGGCAGGCAGGGAAAACAACATAGAAAACAGTGTTAAATCAGCAAGATGGCCCCCCAACACACGCGACCTCGCGACGCCCGGCTGGGCCAGGTCTGCGAGCAGCGGCCAGGACACCTGAGGGCCTGGGGAGGGTCATTTAAATAAAAATAAATAATCCCGCTGTGCTCTGCAGGATCCTGAGCTCCTCTGGGAAGCTGGGCTAGGGGACACCTGGAGTCCAGGCACTGCCTTCTACCCCACACTGCTGTCCTGGGGCAGCTGGGCCCGGGCCCCTCCCGGAGGAGGCGGCCAGTCCCGGTTGCGATTTATCGGCCGAGGTCCCGAGCACTGCCGGGTAAGGACAGTCCGCTCTGTGGCTCTGGAGCTGCTGGCGTTGAGGCAGGACCCCACCACTCTGTCGTAGCACATCCAGCCCCGCTCAGAGCGTCCCAGCTGGTCCCGGGTCTCTCCACTGCTCTCTGGCCCCTCTGGCTACTGATGACAAGGAAAGCCCCTGCTCCCCCACAGTTCGTCTTCTCTCGGTCCCGCAGGGAAGCCATAACGCTAAATTTGGGAGGGTCCTGTCCACGCACAGATGGCCACCAGGTTTGCGATGTTATCAACAGAGGGAGGCTTTCCCCGCAGAACGAGTTGGGGAGAGGCTGGGAGGGTGCAGACTCGTTCAGGATATCAACCTTTAAAAAATAATATCAAGGGAAGGACTAAACACACTGACAGCATCATATCCAAGGGGAGGAAGCAGGGCAGAGGAGCAGGGCGGCTGGCTGGGGGCACAGGAAAACCCTTCCTGCCAGGAGACACTGCTTCAAAGAGCGGGAACCAACCAGCAGCCCCTCTAGGAAGCCGTCCCCTTTGCTCCCTGACATCTTCTCCCCTCCTTTCCCCAGCTTTCTCCATGTCTACCTCATCTGGGCTAAATGGACTGGGTCATTTCCACAAGGCTGCGTAAGCTGGCTTTCTCCTAGAAAAGGAACTCAGCATTTTCATTTCAGTGGGAAAATGCCAGCAGGGACCCAACAGGTTGGGGTGGGCATAGTTGTTTAAAAAAAAGAGAGAAAGAGAAATAAAGATACTTCCCCAACCTGATCTTTAGAAAGTGATCAAATAATAAGGCCTCATTATCACTCATCAGGTGTAAGTGGGAATGAGCGCTGACTGGTGGTGGAGGAGTGGCTTCCAGGGGGAAAGTGTGGCGAGAACCAAAAACAGTTCTCCATTGAGTCTGGGGGTTTGGTCTCCCTCATCCCCCGATGGCTCCAGAAACGGTTTCCCTCCCACAGTGCGGCCAGGGAGCCCCAAAGATGCAGGGGCCCAACGTACGTGTCTTGAACCACGATGTACTGATGGGGGATGAGTCCGTCGATGCCGTTGTGCCGGCCTTCCCACCAGTCGTCAGAAGCCCGCTGGTAAAGCAGCAGGGATGCCCCCTTCTTGAAGGACAGCTCTCGGGCTGTCCGGCCCACGTAGTCAAACTTGGCAATGGCCTCAATGGGCTCACACTCTGAGAGGAGTGGAGAGGAAGGAAACACATGTTGGGACTCACAGACTCAGGAAACTGAGCGGAAAAGCCCAATGAGCTGAACTTACAGTGGTGGGAAGATAACCTTATGTGAAAAATAAGCCACGGATCATGCTTAAAGCAGGTAATTCCTGTGCAGACCGTGCCATCCTGAAAGCACCTGTGTACCCTTCCTTGCCTTTGTTCATGCTGTTCCCTCCACCAGGAATCCTGGTCTCTCTCATCTGACTGATGAAAAACAGGAAGTCACAGTTTGAATATCACCTGCTTCCTATAGTAACTTCTCTGGCCAACCCCTAACACAGAACCTGCCACACTGTATTTGGAAGCATCATTTCTTTTCTGATCATAAAATAACTAGAGACCCTCGGGGGATGTCGGAGGCCCCGGTGCACGGATTCAGCCCAATCCCCACAGGCCAGGCAGAGGGACCCACCAGGTCTCTAGTATGCATATAAGATCTTTGGTTAATCTCTTCCCCCCTCCCTGCTTCCTTCTGAGGTTTATCAGTCTGTTCCATGTTTCCAGGCCTATGCATTGAGTGTCTGCCCCCTGGTGGGCAGTGCTCATCATAGCTACCAGTCGAATGGTGGACCAGTCGCTTTTATATATTTAGATTCCATGAATCACAGAACATTTATCATATTGTATTTTAAATAATTATTTATGCTAGCCATTCTCCCTAGTACAGCAGTTCTCAACCTGTGGGTCGTGACCCCTTTGGGGGTCGAACAACCCTTTCACAGGGGTCGCCTAAGACCATCGGAAAACACATATGTAATTACATATTGTTTTTGTGATTAGTCACTATGCTTTAATTAGGTTCCATTTGTAACAATGAAAATACATCCTGCATATCAGATATTTACATGACGATTCATAATAGTAGCAACCTTACAGTTATGAAGTAGCAACGAAAGTAATTTTATGGTTGGGGGTCACCACAACATGAGGAACTGTATTAAAGGGTCGCGGCATTAGGAAGGTTGAGAACCACTGCCCTAGTACAACATGAGTTTTTAGTTTCTATAAAGAGAAAATAACTTGCCCAATCAACTTTCTAAGGAACAAAATATGGAAATACATTTTGTGGACAATATATGAAAAAAATGTGCATAAATGTGATCAGAAAAAATAAAAGGGGTTTACAAATGCAATGCAGTTTTACTTTTGTGTGAGCCTCCACCTTGTCTATTAAATGGGGATAATAATAGTGGTGTTTTTTTTTCATAAAATTGTCCTCAGGAGTTAATAATTTTTTAAAAATGAATTTATTACCCTAGCTGGTTTGGCGCAGTGCATAGAGCATTGGACTGCAGACTGGAAGGTTCAATTCTGGTCAAGGGCACATGCTTGGGTTGCAGGCTTGATGCCCAGGAGGGGGCTTGCAGGAGGCAGCCAATCAATGATACTCTCTCATCATTGATGTTTCTATCTCTCTCTCCCTCTCCCTTCCTCTCTAAAATCAATAAAAATATACTAAAAAACAAACAAACAAAAATGAATTTATTGGGGTACATCTGTATACTCTATTTTGTGCTTATAGCCGGAAGTCTAGTCTCTTTTTGTCACCACATATTTGACCACTTTTACCCTCTTTATCCTTCCCCGACCCCTTACCCCTCCGGGAACCACCATTCTGTCATCTGTATCTATGAGTTTGTTTGGTTTGTTTAACAATTTGTAAAAGTGCTTGGCCCACAGTAAGTGCTACGCATGTGTTAGCCATTATTATACACATTATACTACACATTTATTTATATGTCTACTTTCAAAGAAAGGATTTGAAGTGTGTTATTCTGAGTAAATGAAAGAGATTCAATCAGCTCTGTCTGGGAATTTGAGAATCTAAGTGAACCTAAAGGCCAAAGGGCCGAGACTTCACGATAGGAGGCAGACCAGAGGGGGCCTGCCACATACCCCATTCTCAGTTCTGCACGGCCTTGGGCATGGCCTTGACCTCTTAACTCAGTTTTCTCAAAAAAAAAACAGCAGCGCTATCTATTTCACCAGAGATTAGGTCATAAGACATATAAAGCCTCTAGCACTGGTGGGCCCTCGGCAGGCTCCAACCAAATACATATTTCCCTAGTTCACCCACTTTCCTCCCATGTGGCAAATCATCATACCGATCCATCTGACATCAGGGCCTGCATAACAGCCCTAATGTTTTCTCCTTTAAAAGCTGGCTGAGGATTGCAGAATTCACGGCAAGGCGGGAACAGGGAAAGCCCCGCAGACTGTGCCATTTTGTTCTAATGCCCAGAAAATTCTAAGGCCCCTTGTCAGCTGCTGAGCCCCAGAGATCCAGAAATGGGGCACAAAACTGCTGGAAGGAGGGGGAAGGTGCTGGCTGGACAGTCCCTGGTTATCATGGGCACGGCCGAGGGGCCCGCGGATGGCAGCTGTGTCCACATCCCGACGCACACCCCCGGCCGCAGCGCCCGCAGGTCTGCACTCTCTCTGGAAAGGGTCAGTCTTTCCAGCAGGCAGACGTGAGCGTGTGTGGTTTCTGAGTCCTCACTCCCACTCCCCTCTGGCTTCTGCTGGAGTCTTGGCACCCAGTTCCTGTGTTCCCCTGGCTTACTGCTTTTCAAGTGAGCTCTTCACTTTGGTCTCTAGCTCCCTGGCAGCAGTCTGGGCCGGGACAGGAACTGACATGCTGGCGAGACAAGGAGCTGTGAGGTGGGCGAGGGCAGGGTGTTGGGGCAAGAGGTCGAGGGGCGATGACGTGTAGTCTTCACCTCTGGTCTGATACTGAGACCTCTCTGTCTGGGAAGGTGGGCTGCCTCTTTAAGACAGGGAAGGGGGGCAAGGGCTCGCTGCCTGTGTGCAGGGGACTGCTGGGCGGAAGGCTCTTTGGGAGCACAGGATGGCCTCACCCGGGAGCCCTGCAGACCCCAAGCAGGACCTCGTACCATCATCGCTCGTGTGGTGCTCCGCACTCACATCCTGGGTGGAGTCTTCGACCGAGGCTGTCTCTCCGTGAGGGCTGTCACTGCAACAGAAGCGAGAGGAACCCGGCTCAGCTGGCTCTCAGAATTCTTGTCTTCCTCTCACACAGCGTCCTCGGGGCTCAGGCATGGAGTCTACCTCATGCTCTCTCTATCCTGACTGCACACACCGACAGACGCCAAGAATGACAGAGAAGGCTCCTGAGGCTCCTACTCCAGGCCCTGCTACAAAAACCACTGCAGTCTGCTTAGAGTATCTTGACACCAAGCGAACCCCTTTTTAATTATAAATTTTTTCAAAACTACAAAAAACAACCCAACTCCTCAAGGGCTGTTTCTCTAGGTGAATTAGTTCTTGGAGGGAGCCCGGTGGAAGAAAAACACTATGCTTTAGTATCAGATACAACCGGGTCCAAAAATCCACTCTGACATTTGGAAGCCGTGTGGCCCTGGGCAAGTTACTGGTCCCTTCCAGCTTCAGTGATCTAATCTATAAATGGTCAGTATAGCTCACAGAGTCACATGAGGATTCAGTGAAAGAAGAGGGGGTGATGGATAAGCGGGACTTCCTTTCTTTCTTTCTCAATCTGCTTGATGTCTCTAGGATGCCTTGCAGTTTAGCTCCAGGTACTGGAAAGAAAGTGGGAGGGGAGTCACAGAAATGGATGGGAAGAGGAGTCTGCTGCGGGCTGAACTCTGCAAGAGCACAAGCGACAGTCAGGTCAAGTTCCTGAAGAAATTCGTCCCGTCTAGAATCATCCGGGGTTGAGGATCGAGAATGGCCAGGGAAGTTACTAGGAATGTCGTTCTGCCGCCTGATCTCCTGGCTCATGGACTTCAGAGTGCTTAGAAAACCCCCTGTTCATGTCCAAAGGTTCTTTCTCTGGCCTGTGGTCGTAATGAGTGAGCCTTTCCATCACCCCCCTCAGCCCCACCACCTGGCCTCAGGGTCTACCTTTGAGCTCATACCTCTCCCTTCTCAGGGAATGGGTCCTTCACTCCTAGGAAGGTCCTCAAAGATCAGGAGGCCAGTTCAGAACGAACCTCATTAGGAGCAGTCAGTTCCAAGGAGTCCTCCAGGCTCCAGAGAACATTCTGGGGCGCATGAACGGGGATTCCGCTTTGTCAAAAAATCTGGGCACAATTTCTTACTGTTTTCTGGGCCTAAAAACCCTCTGATGAGTTTGGTGACATTCTGGAAACCCTTGGGATGCACAGGACCAAGGCTCACTTTTCTGCAGGTTCCAAGCCCATCTATGTGGCCATCCACTATGGGGCGGTTCGCAAACTTCAGAGAGTGTGGGGTGGCTTGTTAAAAAGATTGTTTCGGCCCCAGAGTTTCCGATTCACTAGGTCAGTGGTCAGCAAACTGGCCCCTTGAGTGTGGAAGAGTCAAAATACCACGTGCGGACGTGCACGTACAGTGCGATTGAAACTTCGTGGCCCATGCCACGGGGCCAAAGAGCCGCATGCGGCTCGTGAGCCGCAGTTTGCCCACCACTGCACTAGGTCGTTCGCGTTTATAACCAGCCCCAGGTGCTATTGGTCCGGGACCCTACTTTGAAAGCCACTGCTCTAAGGTAAAGGCAAGATGAGGTTTCCTAGGTTCCTTTTTGCCCTAAAATCCCGTTTTTCTCACTGTACGCCACACCCCAGCAACACCCCAGACCCAACCCTGTGGTCTGAGAAGCTGGCATGCCACCCAGCAATAGTCCCGGGAAAACTGGTTCCAGTCTCAGGTGGTAAATGTGGTGAATGGCCTCTCCACGGTCATGGGGAGGCCAAGTGGCCTGTGCTCCCTCTTCCTGGCTGGCTGGTCTCCTGGCCACTTTCCAGAATCCTTGGACCCTAGCACGCCTACTGCCACCCCTCCCCCACCACCTTCATGGCCTTAGCTCACAGCACCGGCACCTCTCTCTCCCCCAAGGAAAGGGAAGGTTGCGAGCCTTCTGAGTGGGTGTGAATCCAGGGCTGAGATGGTCCCTTTAACCCCAAGATCATTTACTCTTGATCCTCTGGTCCCTCCCACCCAGTCTATGGTAGAACATTCCCCGAGTAATCTGTGGTTTTTCCAGAGGCTGCCAATAAACGCTGGATGCATAACAAACAACATGGGGCCGAGGGGAACACCTTGGAGAGAACTGGAGGAAGGTGCCCTCCCGTCTGTGCCCCTGGAGCCCCCACTCCCACCCCCTGCCGGGGTTCCGTCTGTTCCACTGGCTGAGACCACCCGGGAGGAGACTGAGGGACCATGTCCTGGGATAAACCCAGCCTGCAGCGATCTCATATTTGAGAATTGAGGGCAGACTTTAGAAGGAAGGTAAAGCAGGAATTGGGAACATTGTTCCACAGCTTCCCAACACTCATGCAAAGGGGAAACTGACTCTCCCAGTCACATGTACAAGTTCAGCTCCCGGGAGCTCCTCGGCCAGCAGGCTGAGACCTGAACAATCTCCCCGTCCCACCAACCACCTGTCAGTGACAACAAGCTTTCTCTCTGAGCTGGCAAGCCGAGGTTTCTCCAGCCCGGACCCAGGTTCTGGGGTCTGCAGGACAGTGGAGAAGACTGAGCCCGGATGTCAGTGATATTTTCATGTTCACGACACATGGATGTCCCTTTCTTCACTCCCTGAGCAGGAGGCTCCTTCCGTGGAGATCAGGGACCAGCGTGGACCAATCGGCCTCTAAGTAAACAACCTCCCTTATTCTCCCTACCTCAGTCCACAGCAATGGGGCTGGCTGAATTGGTTCCAGATGCTGAATGCAGATGGAATCTGGTTTGGGCTGGCTTATGCTTTCAGCCCAGGCTGAAACATTTTTAGGGGAGGAAGAAGGGGGAGGAGAAGGTAAGGGATGCTAGGGAGTAAAAGAGAGAGGCAGTTGTCTGTGTTTAGTGGAAAACTGACACAGGAAGTGGTTTCCTGGGGGCAGTGGGCAGTGCCCTGCACTAAAGGACGAGAGATCAGGGTGCAATCCCCACCATGGGGTGGCCTGAAAGATCGTCACTGCCTCCCTGCACTGCAGTGACTTGATCTGTAAAACGGAAATAGTGACTCAGTGTTTGTCCAGTGGGAGGGTCTATGTGCCTTGGGATCCTGTCATATCTCTGCTCCCAGGCCAGGACATGAAAAACCTCACCCCACGGAATTTAATCCCACTTCAGGGTGAAACTGTGCCAACCTGCTGAAAATGGAGCTTACCCCTCTCTCCCTTCATGAATTTCTGAAATCACCTAAATGGTCATCTTACAACGCCCAGCCAGCAAATTATGCCCCATATCTAAGCCCTCCCCAATATGAAATTCCCCGGGAACTGAAACTGTTTTGGGCACCATGCACAGCAGAGCAGAACTCTGAGAGACACTGGGGACTGGTGAACTGTAGAAAATTCCCTTTCCTAGCGAGTATTAATATTACTATTATTATTGTCATTTTCTTTCAGAATATAATGAAAGATAATGACCACTCAGAACTCATAAGGAAGAAAGGTGGCGTGAAATGGCACTTCCTCCACAGGCCGGGTCAAGGTAGGGCACTGCCTACACCAGGGGTCCTCAAACTACGGCCCGCGGGCCACATGCAAATACAAATATTGTATTTGTTCCCGTTTTGTTTTTTTACTTCAAAATACGGTATGTGCAGTGTGCATAGGAATTTGTTCATAGTTTTTTCTTAAACTATAGTCCGGCCCTCCAACGGTCTGAGGGACAGTGACCTGGCCCCCTGTTTAAAAAGTTTGAGGACCCCTGGCCTACACCAACCCAAGACCCTGGCAGCCTGAAGAGCCTGGGAGTGGGAGGCTGGGCAGGTCTGGGTATTTCCCTTTGGTCTTGTTTGGCCATCTGGCCCCCAGGCCAGTGTGTGAGGGTGATGCCCTCCCCGCTCCAGCCTTGGCCCCCTACCAGTAATCCTCCATGCTTCCTCCTCGGCTGTAGACAGGGCCCTCCAGCTCCCTGGGGTTTGGGAAGATGTTCTCATGCTGGATGATGATGGTTTTGATCAGCTCGTTCACGTGCGCTTGGCAGGACACCTGGTCGTGGCCCTCAGGCACCGACATCAGCGAGGGTCCGAAGCAGATGGCGAGGTTGTAGGGGTCCATCATGTTCTCCTCACTGAACTGTGACAAACTGGAGGAGAAGGGAAAGGGTACAAGCTGGAAAGCATGCGCATGAATGCCCAGAAAACACAATCACAGGGGCACAGCCAAGAGCAAGAACAGAAGTTCTGCAAATTGCCACCTGCTTCCCTGGGCATCAGAACCCTTCTAAAACGTTGGCAGGAGGGTTGGGGAGGAGGGGTTGGGAATGATCACCACGATGGTCACTCAGGAGTCAAGGAAAGGCAAAGCAGAAGTACATCCTTGCAGGTGTCACCCCCTCTCTCTCCAGCTCCCCGACAAAATCCTACTTACCATCCCACCCCAGACCTTATCCACCAAGTCCACCCTGCATAGTTGGATACAGCTCCAATAGCCCCTCTAAGCTGACAGGGCACACAAAGACCCTCAGGCTGCCCCCGTCATATAGGGTTAGAGGACACAGGCATCGTGTACCTTCTTCCATAGAAAAATAATCACATTATTAGGGATATTCCATTCTAAGATCTAGGCTTATTTTGTTTAAAAGCCAACGGATTAGCTTTTATATTCCATCAAGCTAGTGGAGTTCTTTCTGGAACAGCTAATGCAATTGTTTTTCATTCTCATAACATCCTCCTCCATTATTACATTCAGGATTTGTTCCGGAGAAGGTCAGCACGCTGTTCAGCTCCTGCTCAGGCTTCCTCTGGACGCCGTCTGACTTCATCATCGGGTATTTATTTACTCTGGGAACTCCCTCTTTCCAGCCAGCAGCTGCTCCAGCCACACCTCCAACCTTGGCCAAGGACCAAGCCCTTCCATGAGCCACCGCACCTGATTGGCTCCCACTGGCCTCTATTCGTCCAGGCGCTGAAGCTGGGTCAGCTCTGGATATACGCTCCCTCCTGCCCCCCAACTGCGAAACAGTGAGCTCTGCCTCCTTCGGGGCATCAGCAGAAAGTCCCCAGCACCGGATTCTGCTGGAGCCTGAGAAGACATCCAAACCCTCCGATG